GCGCTACGGAATTAGATTGCCCCAAAATACCTGTAGTCATTTATTATTTGCAAAGGATACCCACTGGGCTGTGTATGTAAAGTATTATCCAGGGATAAATTAGTAATGAAATAAATAGGAAAAGGGCTTCTGAACCACTGAAATAGATGTTACAAAGTTGGCACATCAGAGAACATGTGCTTTACTCATGACTGTTGCATGCCATCAAGTTAATTCCAACTCAGTGACCTTAGAGATAAGACAGGGTAGAATACCCCATAGGGTTTCCAAGGCTGTCAGCAGACTGACACATCTTTCTCCCGTGGACTGCCTGGTGGGTTTGAACCACCAAGTTTTCAGTTAGTAGCCAAGTTTTTCCAAAACTTTCTGGTCACTTTTGATAGTCTCCTCTTGCTTACCTATTTTTTTAAAAATTTGAAAAATAAATATTTGAAGCTTTTTGTTTTGTTTTTTTAATTTTCTTTAAAATTCTTATAAAGACTGATTCTAGAGTCCTGTGTTTTACCTCTGCACTGTACTCTGCAGGACTCACTGCTAGATTGTGACTGAAGCATACTTTTTTATTGCATGATTGGACTTACAGAAAGTAAGAAAATTCTTCAAGAACTAGCATAAAACTCTTAAGTTACTACATGGAATTAAAATCTTTATAAGAATTTTAAAGAAAGAATTAAAAAAAAAAACTTCAAATCTTTCTTTTTCTTTTTCTTTTTTTGCCAATCTTTTTAAAAATGGTAAGCAAGAGGAGAAAAGTGACCACAGAGTTTTGGAAAAAAATAGCAAAAAGAACTTTTGAAAATGAAAAATATTATTATTAATGTTATACAGATGAATTTATTCAGTATTTTAGATCAGCTGAAAAGGAAGCTAGTAGACAAGAAGATAGATCTCAAGACACTATCCAGGCTTGGGGGTTCAGGAGCATATAGTCTTGGGGGACACTAAAGTTAATTGGCATAACATAGTCCAAAGACAGTGTTCCACATCCTACTTTGGTAAGTAGCAACTGGGGTCTTAAAAGCTTGTGAGTGGCCCCCTAAGGTGCAACTATTGGTCTCTCCCCATCCAGAGCAAAGAAGAAGGAAGAAAATCTAAGACACAAGGTAACAGTCCAGAGGACTAATGGATAACATGAACCTAAGCGCCCACAATGCTGAGACTAGAAGAACTAGATGGTGCTGACTACCACTGCTGACCACTCTGAAAGGGATCACAGTAGGAAATCCTGGAAAGAGTGGAAGAAAAATGTGGAACAAAAGTCAAAATTAAAAAAAAAAAAAAAAGATGAGGCTTACTGGTCTGATAGAGACTGATAGAAGCCCAAGACTGTGATCCTTAAACGTCGTTCAAGACTGGAAGCAAACTCACCCCCATGGCTCAACTTTCAGCCAAAAGATAGACAGGTTATAAAGTGAACAATAACACATGGGAGGCATGCACCCCTTAGAACAATCAGCGAGATGAAAAGGGCAGCATTTGCCCAGGGATGAAACTCAGAAGGCAGGGAAGGGATGGGAAAGAAAGACTAAGGAAAATGGTAAACACAGGGAGAAAGTGGGAAGAGAGCTGTTAACATTGTGGGCGTTGCAAACAGTGTCACAAAACACAATGTGTATGAATTGTTGAATGGAAAACCAATTTACCCTGTAAACTTTCATGCAAATCACAATAACAAAAAAATAAATAAAAAACACTATCCAGAGTGCAGTGTAGAGACAAGGAGACAGGAAAGATGAAATATTAAGACACATGGAGAACAGAATGAAAAGGTCTATGTCTAATTGTAATTCCAGAGAAAAGATTAGAGAGATTGGAAAAAAGATAATGACTAAGAATTTTCCAGAACTGATGAAAGACAGTCTTTATGATTATCCGTAGTATGTGAAGCCATAATACAAAACCCACAATGTTTACTATGCAGAATAACTAAAAAGAAATAGAGGCCTAAATATAACTGATCTTCAGAACACAAAAGACAAAGTCTTAAAAACTGTCAAGAAAACAAAGTTAGACAACTTACAAGGAAATGACAAATAATCTGACAACAGTTTTCTCAACAGTATCAATGGAAGCTAGAAGATAACTGTCAACCTACAGCTGCGTAGTTACCAAAACACTTTTTTCAAGTCAAGGACCTGAAGAAGCTATAAGACAGAATCAGCTTTAATAAAGAAAAAAAAAAAAGCATTATTAGGAACAAAGAACATAATGATAAAAGAGTTAAAGAAGGCATGATGATTCTATACTTAATATGCACACATTAAAATAGCCTCAAAATACATAAAGCCCAATTGAAGAATGGATTTTAAAGAAATTTAAAGGGAAAAATGGACAAACCCACCATCTAGGAGAAGGATTCAACACACTTCATTATCTGAACAATTAACAAGCTGATTTAATAATTATATCTAGATCCCTGTACCTTATGATTTAAAAATACACATTTTTTTTCAGTCACACATGAAAATTATAAAAAGTGACCAAGTACTAGATCATAAAGCAAGTCATGAGTATGAGAGAGAATAAGAAAATCAAAAGAAACCAGGGAAAGTGATAGCTGGATGCTAATGGTTTTGCAGTTCTTGGTTCCTGAGGTCAGGTGGTTTCCCTGTTACTTGTAATCAAAAGACTTCCAATGTGTAGTTCCACCTCTACTCCTTGGCTCTAGATACTTCCTATGCCTGAAAGTTCATCTATCCCTGCACTGCCTCCAGCATTGCTTTGCCTAAATCCTCTCAATCCTTTGTTGTTGTTGTTGTTGTTATTTGCCATATGAGTCTCAATCCTTTAGGACAAGATTATTCTTGTCCTGACATGTTGACGTTTTTCTCTCTCACTCCAACTGCTAGAACTCTCCAGACCTGTAGAGAGCATTCTGTCTAGAAAACTCCTTTTTTTGGAGGCAGAAGCAGCCCAATTTGACCCCTCTGTCTTTCTGCCTGTGCCCTTTCTCCCTACCATCTAGTGTCTGCCCTCGAATAGTTCATACTCGGTAGCTGGGTGGCTGATGATCAGCCAGTACAGCAGGATGAGACTAAAAGCCTAGAGCTTTTCTGAAACAGATCTTTTGTCCATCCAGTATGCAGAGGCTCCACAGGAGAAGGGAACACCCAGTGAGTCACCAGCAGTTTGGTGAACCAAAGGCATCCTGGGATCTGTGCTCTTACCTTAACTGAAAATCATAGAAAGGACTTTTTGGAAATCATCTAGATTCTTATCTAGGCCAACTCCTTCATTTATAGATGAGGAAACTGAGACTAAGGGGAAACTGACTTGACAAATCACACAGCTTGCAGGGGATAGAGCTACCTTTGGAAGTAAGGAGCTTAAGAGTTAAGAGGTGTCATGAGCTTGACATGACAGAGTTTCTTTTCTGAAAGAGAGATGTCTACCATCACTTTCCAGCCTCCACCCCTTTACTTTGCAACAGCTGTTTCGGGTCTTGCCAGCTGGACTGTCAGCAAGCTAGCTCCTAGCTATCACTCAGATCTCAAATGAGATGTTACCTCCCCCATGAAGCCTCCTCTGACCACCACTCTCTCCAAATCTAGTGTTACTTTTCACTAACTTGTAAAAGCCTGTTTGTGCATATGGCCTGACATAGGGTTGTGGTTGTTGGTGGTGTTGTAGTTATGTGCCCTTGAGTCGGGTACGACTCATAGCAACCCCTCCTTGGGTTTCTGAGGTGGTATCACTACGGAAGTAGATTGCCCAACTTTCCTTCCGAGGAGTGGCTGGTGGGTTTGAACCGCCAGCCTTCTGGTTAGTAGTCAAGTGCCTTAGGCACTACGCTACCAGAGCTCCCTGGCATAGGGCAGGCACTCAAATATTTGGTGAATGAACAGTCAGGTATGAACCCTGCCTGCTAAAGTCCTTTATTCAGGCCCTCAGTGGAAAGTAGACAGAGAAGAGCTAGGGACCCCACCTTTTCCAGAGCTGCCTTTCTGTAAGTCTGAAAAGAACTAAAGCAATTGAGGCATCTGCCCTGCAGATGGTGGTATGCTGGCCCATTGGCGGAGGCAGTCAAGCCCCACTAAGCAGTTAGTGAAGCTGCTCCCTGGGAGCAGTGACAGAAGCGAAAGCTGGAAGTGGGTCAAAGTAGTCACAAGGCCACTAGGCCTCAGCCCTGCAAACACTTGCTTTTTCGGAGGTCATGGGGATTCGGTCGCTCATCCAGAGAAATTTCTAATTGATTATGAACCCTCAGGAGCGGACAGATGCTAAGCCAAGAGCACGTAGCCAGCCTAGGCCAGAAGTAGCCAAAAGGAGTTGTACTGGGCCAGTCAGGGGATTAGGGACAACGTTTTGTCCTGATTATAAACTCCTCCCCCAATCCCCTTGGCTTATTTCCTGACAGATACTGGAAAGGTTGAGAGAGAAGTAGTCAGTGCCCCACCCCAGCACTCTCTCCCAAATGTTGATGCCTTCAAGGTCACTCTGACACCATCCACTGGCCTCTGATTACTATTTTAAACAAATACCTTTTCTAAAAACAAAACCCAAACCCTGTCCATTTGGACCAGTTGTTTTACTTGAAGGGACAAGAGCTATTACAACAGAGATCTGGTGTCTGGAAAAGCTGGGCGTCTTTAGACAAGCTTGGAAAAAAGAAAAACCCATCATCTCTGAGTGAGGTCAGCCAGCCCAGCTGGAGAAGACAGCCGGCTGTGGGGGAGCCAAAGGACCACTTGGCCAGCTTGCAAGACCCTGGGCCAACCCATTGTGTAAATAAGTTCCCCAGTATTGGAAAGAAAGAAAATCGGAGCATGTTTTTAGCCTTGCTCAGGAGCCCAAAACATGCTCACAATTCCAGGCCATCTCTGCTCTTCCCTGCGAATGGAAAATATGATCCCTCAAAACAAACTTGACTGCTGGAGTGTGTGCCCAGTTACCCAGCCCCATAACTTAGGGCACCAGGCCTCACACCAGCTTGTGACTGTTTTCCAGGGTCCCTTTGGATCCTCCGGCTCACTTTAATGGATAGAAGACAGAATAGCAGCCTCAGAATCAAAGTATAAAATGTGCCTTTATTGACATCTGCCCTGGGCTACACTAAGCTTCTAGCTTCTAGCTAGAACAAAAGCAAATATAAGAGAAACATGCAAATAAAATTAGTAACTGCATTTGAAGAGATGTTCTTTGCACACTTGGTAGAGGAACTGTGATCACCCTATAATCAATAGCTTAACATTGAATGCGTACTAGAGTTCCAAATTCAGCAGAGAAATAAATAACTTATTTACATTTCAAGTAAAAATATTATAGTTTATTCCTTTTATTTTTCACCAACATTTATGCACATGAACTGTGATGGGATGCTTCTTACATCCTGTGGAGCAAGACCAAGAGATATGCTTAATATTAGTTATTTGAACTTCAAAATCAGGTTTTTATTATCATAGGGGTGGTAAAACCATGCAAAAAAAAAAAAAAGTACACTTTTCTTTTTTGATGGCACTAAATGAAGAACGGTCAAAGCCAGAGAGTTTTCCCAATTGCCAATTCCTTGTGTTTCTTTTAAAGAACAAGACAAAAGGGCTTTATTTTGCCATTTTAGGGGTTACATGCCAATCAGTAGAGTGGGACAAAGACAGTAAGTAAAGGCATGAAGAAATAAACAAGCAAATTGCACCAGAACAGATGTGCTTAAATTAACCGAGTGACAGTTTGTGCATCAGTCTCACAATGGCTGTCACTTGAGGTGAGGGGAAAAGAGGATGGAGCACCGGAGACTCAGTTGCTCAATGGCTGCTGAGCAACCTCAGGAAGCCTCAGAGAAGCCGCCCCTCCTTGCCTACGCTGGCTAGCCCTACTTGCCCGCTGCTGCCTCCTGGAGGCCAATCTTCCTCGGAGAGCGCCCGTGGCAGGTGGCCGGGCTGAGGTGCTTTGCAAGTACTGGAAAGCACTCTGGCGGCCCACTTGCCTCTCTGCACAGTTAAAAGTGAGGGCCACTCCCACATTGCTTTTCATGACTCTGGAGGAACCATCAGATGTTCCATCGAAACATCGGCCAAGTGCAATCTCCTTAGCCGTGCGAGGGTCCTGGTCAGTGACGGTGTAGATGCCATAGTTGTGACCCAGCGGGTCCAGGGGCGCCAGCATGGTGTACTCGCTGGTGTCATTGTTGACCGCCAATGGCAGGTGGTTGACCAGATACTCATGAAGCATAGAGTTCACGCTGGCTCTTTGGCAGCTGCCTTGGGGAATAATCTTCACCAGGGTGCGGTCCACCCGGTCTTGGTCATAGAGCATCCCACTGCACTTGAACTCCAGGCAGGCAGATGAGACATTGGGCTGATCCCTATCCCGCGTGCTCTTCACATCTCGGATTCCATACAGCTTCCCCACTGTTCGCCGGTGGGTGCCCCCCATGTTGCGGGATCGCACATTCACCTCTATTGGCCCCACAATCTTCACCTTGATGTAGCAGGCTCTGAATTCCATTGGCTTGGGCCACCATGCAAGGTAGTCTTCAGTCCAGCTCATGGGGTCATCCTCATTGAAGAGGACCGTGTTATAGTCATATCGATCCCCCTCAATCTGGTAGAACCGGAAGTGGGCCGCACTGGGCGGTGCCTCTTCGCATGCCCGCAGGTTTTCAAAAGCATAGATAGGCCCGTTGCTTTCTTCAGCTGAGTTGGGTCTTGGCTTCGCCATACTGATCTGGAAAGCTGTCTTCTTAACCCGCGGGTCCTCATGATCTGTCCGCCTGTACTTGAGCTTGTTGAGGTAGGGCTGAGGGACACCGATTGCATTTGGGTTGAATTTAGGAGAAGATGCCACCGCTTCCAGTTCCTCCCCTGCCAGGCTTGCCAAGACATAGGCAGAGTAGGCATCAGGGGACTGGTCATCACAGAAGGCAGGCAGACAGGCCCCATTGGGCCCTGTGATGACACTGTCAAAGCGGCCCCAGACTCTGGGGTTGGATGAAAAACCAGTCCTGGGCTCCAGGTTGATCACAGAAACCACAACTCCCTGGATCTGTTCACTGGGCAGAAACCTCTCACTCCGGTAGGCTCTCACCTTGATAAAGCACCTCCTACTTTCAGGAACATCTAGGTTAAAGAGCCTCCTCTCACGAATCTCCATGTTGCCCACCAGGAAGGTTCTCTCTTCCCTTCTGTTCCGCCTTCGGCTTTCAAATTCGAAGTCTCCTTCCTCCTCCCACAGCCCTGTGTCTGGGTTGAGTGACCAGAGTTTCATTGTAGAAACATGCTCTGGCATCTTGACCTGGGTTGAGTCGAGGTGGACCTTCACCTTGCCAGCATTGAGTGACTCTGAGGTGGCCTCATCTGTGAAGTCCACAGAAAACATGCCATATGTCCGAAGGGGGAAGGTGTCTCCTTCGTCATTGATGAAGTTCAGGTCACTCTGGGCAGCTGTAGCTGTGGAAATATTCCGGGGATCCAGGAAGGTCACGCTGGCCTTCACTTTTCCTGTGAAGAGCTCCCCATTCTGCCTGTAGAAGCTCTTAGATGGAATCTCCAGTTCAGCCACAGGGTCTTCACCAATCATCTCCCCCAGGGGGATAATGTTGGTCTCCAAGGCCTCCAAGGTGATGGGCTCTTTCCGTCTAAGCATCTTGATCTCATGGAACACTGTGCTCCCCTTCTTGTTGAAGGGTAGCACTTTGGTGGTATTGATGAACTTCTGCAGCCTGTCCACAAATGTAAGCACCAGCCTCTCAGTGTCCTGGGGAACATGGAGGGTGAAAGTGCCTTTGTAGCCAGTCATGCTCACACGGCTGCCCCCCATGTACACGTAGCCAAAGCGCATGGGCTCCCCATTGTCGGCAGCACTGACACGGCCCCTCACAATACTCCGGGTCTCTGTACACCGCTGGCAGCTACACTCTGTGGCCACTTTAGTGGGCAGTGTATACCCAGTGCACTGAATCTCCTTCTCCTCTGTCTTGGAGATGCCACAGCAGTTCTCCACAGCATCCCGGCACCTGATCCCATTGTCCTGCTGCCCCGCACAGGTCTTGATGGGGCAGTGGCCCACATCATAATAGAAAGAGTTGGTGGCATTCTGGAAGCAGTCGTGGGGCAGCCGGATAAGGTAGCTCTCAGGGGTTGGGTTACAAGGGGTCTCATTAGGGGCTGTGGAGGGAAAGGGTGTAGACATTAGATGTAAGTTCACATCTTACATAAGTTTGCCTCTCTCTCACCTCTCTGTGGTGCTTTATGGTTTTCAAAGTACTTGCATATGCAAGATCCTGATTCTCATAGCACTTCTATGAAAGAGATGGGTAGCTATTACTAACACCATTTTAAATGATAGGGAAACAGATGGTTGCCGAGACCACTAGAGTAGTGATTCTCAATGGGGAGGCTGTTCAGGATATCACCAAAATTAAGGGTGCTACTACTGGCTTTGAGTAGGCAGCATCACTGACGCTCTCTATGTCCTGCAGGGCCTGGCACTGTCCTACATAAAGAATTGTTCTGCACCCTGCATAAAATTCATGTATCCCACTAGATGTTCATGTAGGTGAAAAACCTGTTTACAATGATTGGGGTCTAGTATTTTTTTACATGGCTTTAACATACACTGAACTTTTCAAGAATGCAGCTACCATGTAAACTGAGCTAGGACTGTACTTTGTTTAGCTTTGAACAATACAAAGAATTGTCCCTTATTTCAGAAAAATCATACCACCTACCACAACATTATTCAGGGAATGTGAACCGCCAAAATGATACCTCTGTACCTATCAGAATTTGTCGCTGTCACATTTACATGCAAAGATCTGACCTCTTTGTTTATCTTCTCATGTTATTGTGCCAAAACAATTACATATTGAAATATTATTTTATATTAAAATGATTTCCTTCTCATCTCTCCTTTATGGTATAGTTGTTGTGCTGTTGTTATGTGCCGTTGAGTCAGACCCAACTCATAGCGACCTCTCCTTGGGTTTCCGAGGCAGTATCGCTACCGAAGTAGATTGCCCCATCTTCCTTCCAAGGAGTGGCTGGTGGGTTTGAACCGCCAGCCTCTGGTTAGCAGTCAAGTGCCTTAGGCACTACACTACCAGAGCTCCCATGTTATAGTTAGGGCCAGATATATTTTTTGGAAATTGTATATAGTTAAGTTATTATATATAAATTTAAATAGTCCATAATAAAAAATGTTGTAGTTGTTGTTATGTGCCGTCAAGTTGTCTCCAACTCATAGCAACCCCTTCCTGGGTTTCCGAGGCAATATTCCTACAGAAGCAGATTGCTCAACCTTCCTTCCAAGGAATGGCTGGTGGGTTTGAACCACCAACCTTCTGGTTAACAGTCAAGTGCCTTAGGCACTATGCCACCAGAGCACCAATAATAAAGAATAGTAAATAAAAAAAGAATCGAAAAGACAGTATCAAAAAATAACTATTAAAAAAACAAAGTTACTGTGACAAATGGGTAGCATTGGTGTGATGGGTTGAGAAGCCCTGCTGAGGGGGCTCTTCTTCTCCTCTGCTGAGGTCCAGAATGCCCTGCATCCTGCCTGTCCTGAGGTCTGCTGTTCAGCTTCCTCAGAGTCTATGAAATATTTCAGGACCTTTCCAGTAAAGTCTGTCTTCCTCTGCCTTTTGTTTTATTTAGGCTAATTACGAGGATATTCTACCCCAAAACCAAACCACTGTTGTTGATTCCGACCCATAATAAACCCTATAGGACAGGATAGAACTGCCCCATAGGGTTTCCAAGGTGGTGAATCTTTAGGGAAGCAGACTGCCACATCTTTCCCGTGTAGCGGCTGGTGGAGTCAAACTGCCGACCTTTAGGTTAGTGCTTTAAGCACTGCACCAGGCTCCTTTATTCTACCCCCCAGCCTTCATTTTTCAAGTACAGGTTCCTGATTGCCTTCAGCCTTGAGTCTTTCCTGCTCTAATTCACTGCTTGAAGCCACCTCTGATCAGATCACCCTTTCTTGTAAAGGCCCCTCAGTTTCCTACTTTTGTACCTTTGCTCACACTGGCCCCTGGATCTGGAACTCTCTTATCTCCATATAGATAGCCCCTGCCTGTTCTTTAAAACCATTCTAATTTGGCTGCAAATTAGAATCACCTGGGGAGCTTTTAAAACTCATGATGCCCAGGTCACATTCCAGACCAATTAAATTGGAATCTCTGGGGCGTAGGACCTAGGCATCAGTATTTTTAAAAATTCAGCAGGTGATCCCACTGGGCAGTCAAGGTTAAGAACAATTATTTAGGGCCCAGCTGGAAAGTTGCTCCCTCAAGCATCCATCTGAGATCACTCCCACCTAGAAGTTCTCTCTCTCTCCTCTCTCTATAGAGACCACAGCTCCTTATCTCCTGTTTTAACTGCAGTTTTCTATATTATTCACATCTCTTCATCTCTCCTACAGTGATGATTGATGAGGGTAGGATTCAAGGCTGTACCATGTTTGCATGCCAGAGGGCATGGCACTATGCATGGCACAGAAAAGATTCTAGTGTCCAGTTATGCTTCCTGAGGTGCTCATCCATTACTGTGGTAGACCCGAGACCCCCGGGGACTCAGATAAGCTTACCTATGACAGTCAGCTGGGCGATCTGGGACTTCACAGCCCCAGCATCACTCTGGGCCTTGCAGAAATACTCCCCAGCCTGGTCCCGCTGCAGGTTTCTCAGCACCAGCTTGCTCTCATGCTTGTAGCGGGAGGGGTCCAGTAGTGTGTCATTGTGGTACCTGTCAGGGATGGAGAGGTGAGGCCTGAGGGGGCACTGGGAGGACAGGTATCCCTGGAAGGAGGGGCAGTGCCCAGGAGCAAACAGCCAAGGAAACAGTTGGTGGATGTGTCCCTGCAGATGCTAACATTATCTCAGACAGCTCACCCAAGAGCACTGACTGACCTGAGAGTCAAGGGACTTGGTTCTGAGTCTCAGCCCTGCAACTTTCCTGGCTATGGATCCTTGGACAGATCATCCCACCTCTCTGAGCTTTAGTTGCTTGGTCTATAAAATGGGAGCAATGATCCCTAGTAGATTTCACAAGATTGTTGGAAGATCAAACAAGATAATGGCTGCAAAATGTTTGTGAAGGCTAAAGGACTCATGGGAGCTCTGGTGGCATAGTACCTAAGGCATTTGACTGCTAATCAGAAGGCTGGCGGTTCAAACCCACCAGCCACTCCTTGGAAGGAAGGAAAGGACTCACAGCCAGTGGGGATTCTACTCTTGTTTGCCTTTGTCAGAGCTGAGGAGCCTCATTCTGTGTCCTGAGGATATGTAAGTTGGGACCCTGAAACCAGAGATGCTCTGTAGATAGATGGCCCACCTTAGAGAGGACAGCCAGAGGGTTTGCTCGTTGTCTGTACAACTTCAACACTGCTGGGTCCCACTTTCAAGTGCCAACATCTGGGCTCTGTGCCTGTGCTGGCTTGTCCCACTCTTCTCTTGGCTATTACCATTATTAATAACTCCAGACCCAATGCAAGAAAGTTCTGGTTTCTGAGAGGAGAATTGGGCAGGGTAGCTGGCAGAACACTCACCAGAAATACTTGTCTGGCCCAGGCTTCCCTGTGGCCTTACAGCACAGGGACACACTCTGCCCAGCTCTCCGTGCTTTTGTCTGAGGATTCATCACAATATATGGAGTCTCTGGGAGAGGGATTGTAGTAGAAAATGAGAAAATAGTGGTTTCTTTTTTTTTTTTTTCCTGTGACAGATTCTACAGAGCCTTGCTCAGGTTCTTTGCCTTGTATTAAAACTGTATAACTTCACCTCCACCCTCAACCCCTCTCAAATGACCCTAATACTTCCTAAGGGAACTGCTCCAGAGTGGAGCTCACCATCTTCATACCCTCTGTGTGGTAGACCTTCTCCCATGGCCTCTCAAGCAGCATCTGAATGGGGGAGTAGAGAACCCAGTACACCTGTGCCAGCTCAGGATTACCCAACATTGCCATTGGGACAGAGCTGGCTGTTTTAAATAGCAATATTCCTTTTCTCCTTCCCCCAGCAGAATTTTCTGGCCATTCTGTACCATTTCTGAACTCCCCAAGCCTTTTTTTTTTATGACCTCCAAACCCCACACTATATTGTAATCAATTGTTTTAGATAAAGTGACCAGAGAAGAAAGACCTCGTGCATTTGAGGAAATAAGTCATACTGATATCTGGGGAAAGAACACTCCAAACAGTGTAAATAGCAAGTGCAAAGGCCCTGAGGCAGGAGTGTGTATTTGAGGAACAGAGATGAGGCCAGTGTGGCTAGAGGAGAGAGACTGTGGGGTGAGGGAGTAGTTAGAGAGGAGATCAGAGAAGTAATGGGGGGCCAGATGATGTAGAGTCTTGTGGGCTGTGGTATAGATTTTGTGTTTTACTCTGAGTAAACTGGGCCAGCTCTTAGCACTGTGACCCTTCTATTTACTAAAAGTCCACCCCTTTCCCCAGCTGTACTGCAGAGAACTCAGGTACCTGCCCTCATGAACTCTGCAGTGACGGTAGCTGCCTTCAGGCTAGTCTTAGGCATTGTGAGCTTGATGGGGGCAAACTTGGCCTTTGTGATCTTCAGGATGCTTTTGCCATCGGGGCATAAGCCAGGCACTCGGAACCTTCCCCTACTGTCTGTTTTGGTCAGTTGTTTAGGCTTCTTAGTTAGCAGGTAGACAGTGGCCCCTGAGGCTGGGGCACCCCCGGGGAGGGAGACAGCCCCTTGCAGTACAAAGTCCTGGCACATGCAGGCATCACAGTCAGCATTCACCTGGCCCATGGGACAGGTCAGGTCACAAGCTGTGGGAGACAGGGCCAGATCAGCAGGAGTTACATGGATTCTGACTCTCCCTCAGCCATATCCCAGCCTGTAGACTCACTCATTAAGCCTTTGTTACCCTTCATGATCAACCTGCATGACTAACTCCTATTCATCTATTAAGAATCATCACAGGACATCTCCTCCAGGAAGCCTTCCTATGGTAATTGACCCTGCTCTATGCCCCCACATTACCCTGTATATCCCCCATCAAAGCTTTTAATATATGCTCAATTGTTGTGTTGTTATATGCCGTTGAGTCGGACCCGACTCATAGCGACCCTTCCTTGGGTTTCCGAGGCGGTATCACTACAGAAGTAGATAGCCCAACCTTCCTTCCGAGGAGTGGCTGGTGGGTTGGAACCACCAGCCTTCTGGTTAGCAGTCAAATGCCTTAGGCACTACGCTACCAGAGCTCCTATATGCTCAATTAATACATGATAAATAAATGAAGGCTCCATTTCAGTCTGACCTTCCTCCCAGGCTGCATCAGACTCACCTCCCAGCCCCTGCACAGTGCCAGAACAGAGGGTGGTACCTGTACAGTCCTGGCTCACACAGAGCTGTCCCTCTTCAGTGGCCTCACTGCACAGTGACATCGTCTCTGCCAGGCAGTTACGCGTACGGGTCTGGACCCCCGTGTGACCACAGGCAGCTGAGCACTTGCTCCAGGGAGACCATGTGCTCCAGATGTGCTCTGAGTCTCGGCGCAGGGACCCTGCAAAGTGATATCAGCAGGTAGTCTGACTTCCCTCCCAGAGAGACTCTGTCAGGAAATCTAACTGTGAAGCTATTTCTTCTCTGGTGAGGAGCAATGAGGGCCTCCATTTATGCTGTAAATATCATTGATACTTATATTTATTGCAATGATTTTTCCAACATATGGAACTCATGAGTCTAGAGATGATGTCTCTTTCTAATTTGCACAAAGGCATCATATAGGCTAGAGGTGGTCCTGAGAGGGGCTTATTGGCCAAGTGCTGAGAGTTTGATAAGCTGTCCTAGGATATGCAAGACACATCTTCCTTCTCTACCAATGTGGAAACAACCACTTGCTCCTGGGAAGTTGGGATCTGGGACCTGCAGTGACCTAGACATCAAGCTCCTATCTGCCTATACCCCTCACCTCTGGCCTGAGGCCTGTCTGCAAGAAGGGGGCTACAGACCTTGCCCAGGAAACCAGCCTGAGCTCCCACTCCTGATAACTACCACTCCTGCTTGGGCCTGAGAGGTCAGGTTGTTTGGACTGGCAGAACCCACAAGAGGACAGGGTGCACATCCAAGAAGTGCGTAGGTCTGCAGCTAATTTCCCTACCACCTATATTGTCCAGTGTTGGGAGATAGAAAGGGCAAACTCTGCAAACACAGACAGGTTCAAATCCCAGGTCTGCCTGTATTAGCTATGTAATCATGAGAAGTTACCTAACCTCTCCAGACCTCGAGTAATCTGGCAAAATGGAGATTCCTCAGAAGCCAATTGTAAAGACTGAATTATATAGATAACTAGCATGGTGTCTGGCACATAGGAATTATAATAGAAACCAACATCTAGTGAACGTTTACCATGGGTTTATCCATCATCTCATTTAATCCCCCTAAGAACTCCTATGAAGATTTAGAAATACTATTTCTGTTCTACATGTAAGAAACCTAAGACTCAGAGAACTTCAGAAAAAAATTGCCTAGAGAACATAATTCATATGGTAGATGCAGGATTCAAACCCAAGGAACCCAACCCCAGAGTCTGTGGTATTAACCACCGTGCCACATGTAATGAATAAAAAGGCTTGAGTGAAGGGGACCCATACACATAGACAATGTTGGGAAGATCATGGTACTAATGACACTGATGGGTTATTTGAAGAGAGGTGAAGTGTGTATATGTGTGATGTCCAGAGTTCCCATGACCAGAGGCAGGTCCGGGCCTCTTCCTGGGCTTGTGGGAGGTAGGAATGGGGGCTTCATCAGGCCTACCTGGCGGGCAGAAGAAGCGCACAGTGTAGTTGGAGCAGTTCCGACCAGACCGCTGCTCTCTGTTGAGGCACCAGAAGCCCTCACGGGGACTGCCATGGACCACCTGGCCAGTGCTGCTCGCAGGTATCCAATCAGTAGTCCGAGCCTCTAGCCACAGGGGCCGGGCACACACACGGTCTCCATAGTAGAAACGAATGGCATCCAGCCGCTCATAGTCACCCTGCCCACCTGGGTGGTCAATGTTGAACCATGTTGTCCACTCTCCAGGATCTAAGAGATAAGAACCAGCTTAGGATGGAGCCATACCCTGGAGCCCCAGGGGAGCTGCAGTTCTCCTTCCCTGCTCAACACCTGGGAGTCATCCCTGATACCTCTCGCCGTCCCCAATCAGTCTCAGGCCCTACTGCATCTCTCTCTTCAGCATCTCCCTGATCTCTAACACTTCTGTGCCCCCCACTGCCAAGGCCTCCATTCAAACTCTGATCAGCCCTCTGTGCCATGTCAGTAACTTCCTGTCTGGTCTCTTTACATTTAGCCTCCCCCTCCACCCTCTCCTCTGCACTTCCTTGCAGCCAGGGTGAACTTTCTCCACATAGCTTGGACCACACCACTCCCCAGTTTAAAAAAGCCCTTAGCCAGGCATTTAAGATACTGGTGAGCTGGCCCCTGCTGTCTATCCATCTTCATCTCCTCCCTCTCTCCCCACCAGCCTGTGCTGTGGCCACAGCAAGCTCTACAGCATCCTTGGAATCTATCAGGCAGCTTCAGGAGTCTGAGTTGTCCTATATACTAGGTCCCTCTGCCTGGATGGAAGCATAAGCCAGTGCCTTGTAAAAGTGGGTTTCCACGGAACCCTGACCTTAGGCCCTGGCTTCAGAGATGCTCTTAGCAGCTCAGTAAATACGTCCCCTCCCAACACCTCCCTGCTCCAGCCACTTACTTTCCAGGGGGTCAGCAGGCTTGGCAAAGATGTTGGAGGTCCTCTTCCCAGGCTGGACTCTTCTCACTGATTGTGTGAGCATCGTCTGCCTCCCTGGGAGGGCAGGAGGAGAAGAAGCTGAGTGAGAAGTCAGGACTGTAAGATATAGAGGCCCAGCAGGGTCCTACTACCAGATTCCCAGGACTCAGGAAAAGAGTAAGATGTGGTGGACAGAACATGTGCACTGGAATGGATTCAAATCCCTACTCTGTCACCTTGCAACCTTGGAAATCTTTCTTCCCCTGAGCCTATTTACCCATAAAAGAAGGATGCATTGACAATCACTATATCACAGGGTCATGATGAATATTCAGAGTGATAATGAATGTGAGGGAGCCCGGCATAGAGTATATGCTCAACGAATGCTAACTCCCTTCTTGCTCTCATTCTAGAAACACACAGGATGCTGCTGAGCAGTCAGTGGGCTCCAGCTCCTGCTTTGCGGTTTGAGCTTGTCCTTCTTGGCAAAATGGAGGCTTATTTTTCTCCTCTGTAAAATGGAGATATTAGTCCCCACCTTATAGGGTGGTTCTGTTGGCATGAAGATGCCATGAGGTAACACAAGAAAAGATCTCTGAAATACACCATAGAGATTGAGAGCATGGGCTTCAGAGGCTCTGCTACTTCTTGACAATATGGTATGACCTTGAGCAACCCATGTGACTCCTTGTTCCCTCACCAGAAAACAAGGATACTAATAGTTCCTGCCTCAGAGGACTACGGAGATTAAATAACCTCATTCATAAAAGCCAATTAGGACAAATGCCTACCACCTAGTGTATGCTGAATCAGTGTTAGCAACTCCTTTTAGTTCAATGCCTGGCACAATAGATTGATTCTTTCCACTTGGCAAAATTTGGCTTTAGGAGTCCACCCTTCCATAATGGACTCATGTGGCCTCATTGGGGCAGGGGTCTCGATTTTCTGACCTCAGACTGGCAAGATCTACCTGAGGGTGGATAGAGAGTCCCCAGGACATGGGCAATTTCTAAACTCACCCCACTTGAGGCTGGATTGGAAGGGGAAGGAGAAAGCAGAGCAGAAGACTGTAAAAGCTTTGAAAGGCAATTAACTCTCTTGTAGGGAGCCAAATCAGAATTCTCTGTGCTGCTTAATTGAGGTGATAGGAGCTCTTTTGATCAAACTAATCTGATTTTCCCTCAGATGACTGAATGTTAATCATTTTCACAAACACCAGCTGTCAGGGCGGAGAGAGCAAGGCGAGTGGAGGGCACGCACAGGGTTTGGCAAGATGCTGAGACAGCCTTTGTTCCTTCATCTGTGGACACAAAGCCCACAGTGCATGCAGCTTTAAAAGACAGGCTTGAGGATTTTTTGCTTTACCTGAGCATGTGGTTAGAAATCAGGAGAGGAAGGGGAGTGGGAGAGTGTGTAGGGCAATGCTGGGAGCTCTGATGCTTCGACACTTTGCGGAGTTGGCTGTTCCACCAGGCAAATTCTTTGTACTTGTTCCTTTGAAGGAGTCCCTGGGTAGGGCAAATGGTTAACATCCTCAGCTACTAACTGAGAAGCTGGAGGTTCGAGTCCACCCAGAGGTGCTTCAGAAGAAAGGTCTGGAGATCTACCTCTGAAGAATCAGCCATTAAAATCCTATGAAGTACAGTTCTGTTCTGACAAACCTGGGATTGCAGTGAGTTGGAATTGATTCGATGGCAACCGGTGCTTTCTCTGAGAGCTCAGTGTCACCAGAGGATGGGATTAGAGGGCGGGGAGACCAGATGTCCCCTTAGAATGGCTGATCAAAGTGAGGCTCTGGTGCTTCTAATTGAACGATCTAATTGAAATGGAGCTTTAGGTCAGAAGAATTTTCATGAAACTGAAAACAATCCAAACCCCAAACCTGCTCCAGAGAACTCAAAGATCCTTGGTGATTCCAGTTTCACTCCGGCTGCTTGGAGGCTCAGACCTTAATTCAGTATTCAGGGGTAGTAATCCTCTCTTCTTCTTCCTCCAAATGATTACTTATCCCCCTCCACATTGAAAAAGTTCTGTTCTGTGGGTTTTGGTACTGAAAACTATCTCAAATCCTTTGAGAAAACAAAACCAAAACCAAACTCACTGCCATTGAGTCAATTCTGACTCATAGAGATCCCCATTGGGTTTCCAAGGCTGTAAATCTTTATGGAAGCAGACTGCCTCATCTTTCTTCCATGGAGCAGCTGGTGGGTTCCAACCACCAACCTTTTGGTTAGTAGACAAATGCCTTAACCACTACACTACCAGAGCTCCTTTGGGAAAATAAGCAGGACATAAATTAGGAATAAATTCATAAACCAGCCTCAGGTCTTGAATCCACTACTGTGACACAAGGCAGATGCAACGTTGGACTCTAGACCAAGCATGACTTCACTATGGCAGATGGGGACTTGGGGGCTAGGAGATACTTAGCCTGTACCAAACACAGAGGTGAACTCCAGGAACAGGAGGAAGAACATGCAGGCCTTGGTCCCCAACATCTTTCCCCCTGGCCCTGTGGGGAACATGGCAGGAGATAGATGAGGGTGCTTCACAGAGTCAGCTTGTCCCTGGAATGTGGTCTCTCAAGAAGTTTCTCAGACCCAGTGACCTGCAAAGAAACAGAGCTTATCAAGTTCCACATTTCTGAGTTGCCTCTGATGGATCAAACAGGAATATTTCCTGAGCTGTCAGAGATGGAAAGATGGACAGAATAAAGTCTTGTGGGAGGTGACACCTGCCTGAATTGTGAAACCAGGGAGCTTGGGTGGTGTGGAATCTGAGTCCAAATGAGGTAGACTCCTCTGGGGTCCAGGCTCCAGGGCCTCCCGTCAAGGCAGCACATGAAGGAGAGGAGGGGTAAGGAGGTTCCTTTCCAATGACGAAAGGCCAGAGCTCACTCCCAGGAGTCTCTTGGTGACTCATTAGTCACTTCTAAGACTTGGGCTTGGTGGGCATTTGTTTTCCTACCCCTTGATAGGGCTTACCCTCTTGGGCTGCTTATTAGGACCACGCAGCCCCAGCCCCCCACTCCAGCAGCCCCTCACAGGCAGGCATGCTGGAGGTTCGATGCCTTACACACAACACCTCAATGAATACATTTCCAGATGTATATGGGCTGCAGCTGGAACAAATTTCTGGCCAGTTTGTTTGGGGCCTGGCTGGGAGTTACACAGCCAGGAGCAGCTGAGGGGAAGCAGAGAGGATGTGTTGTGATAGGCTAGGGCTTCCCGATAACTGCTGAAGGTATGTTAGGGGATGCAGAAGCAGGAAGAAGAAAGGCAGGCCTGGCAATAAGGACAAGGAACCATGGGGTATGATTCAGGCTCTCGCTTAGCAGGACATTATTTTCTTTCCCCAAAGCTCTGGAAAACCTAGAATCTGACCAGTTCCTAGAAATTCCAAAGTGGTTCCTTTCAACTACAAAGTCGAGGGTTTGGTGGGAAAGGGGAGATTCCTCTTTCTGGAAAAAGTTCCAAAAATTCTTGGATTTCAAGGACCCCTGTGTCCCAGGGAAGGAGCAGTATAGACAATCTAGCTCTAAATCTGCTACTCCCACCATTACCTGTTTCTCAGATGAGGGACAGAGGCCCAGGGAGGTCTCCAAGATTTCCAGCTATTGCGTGCCTTATCTCAAGCAGCTGGACTCTGAGCAGGGAGCGGAGTGGGCTTGACCTCAGCATTCAGTCTGAGCCTGCTCTGAGTCTGTCTGAGAGGCCAAGGTGGCCTGAGGCACCTTGTGGAAAAACCATTTCCCATCTGGCAGCCCACAGAACTTTCTCTCGGCATCCCAGTCGTTTCCTCAGCCTATGCCCTGACGGTTAGGTTCTTCATCCCACGCACCTCAGAACTCTCAGACAAAGAAGACTGGCTGACTGACGGGGAAATAAAAGCAGGAGCACCCAGAGGTACATAGACCTTAATTAGGAGCACCCGGGGACCCTGAGCTCAGGTTGGGGCGGAAGAGGACTTAGGAGGGGAAAAGAGAGGACTGCAAAGCAGAAAGGGGTGTCTTCTTTGTGGGAGATGGGAGGTGAGCCAGCAAAAAGGAGAATAGGGGTAATTGGGAGGGCAGGGCAGTGTGATGCAGGGAGGGGGTGAAGGGAATGAGAATGGGCTCACCACGTCTGAGCAGGACTCCTCAGCTGGGGGTCCAAGTCTTCGCCTCTCCAGCGGTCCAGCCTCCAGGCCTTATATAGCACGGCTGGTGGCTGAGCCTGTGGCAGTGAGCCACGGGAAGCAGCAGCGAAACCAGATCTCAGTATGAGGAAGCTCAGCCTCCCTTTCCCCCTTCCCCTCCCCACATCCCCTACAGCTTACAGAGGCCCAATTTCACTCCCAGATCCTTAGGGGGAGATGCTGCTGAGCCTGGTGATGGGCCAGGTGGGCAGCTGCCTGGGGTTCCACAGGCTGGAGCAGAGTGAGAGGGGTGGGGAGGTGGGGTGGACATTGAGAGCAGCCCTGGGAAGGGGCCAAGGGGAATTCTACACTCTGGGCAGCAGTTCATGGCTCAGGGGATGGAGTGCTCTTGCCTAAGCCTTGCTTGCTGATCCCCCAAATTCCCCTAGCCCTGGCCCGCCCATGCAGAGAAAGAACTTTGCTGGTCTTAGCACATACCCCAAACTCTCATGTACACACAACCAGTTGAGGGTGCCTAGTTTGAGTCTGGCAGCTATTCAACTGCTCTGGCCTCCAAGGGAACACTTAGTGAACCTCAGAAGGGACAAGGGACAATTTTAAGGCACAGGACATAACCTGGTGAGAACAGCTCTTCCCCACCTCTCCCCACTTCCCTGGAGCCTGCCCCATTTGGGTGTCTGCCTGTGCCCATTGGACCCCAGAGCCCCAACCAGTTGCTCACATATGTGCTTGTGTGAAGACTCTGGATCTGGGTGCCCACAGCATGTGAATGGCCAGCCTTATTTGCAAATGGCACAAGCAGCTACCTGTGCTTTGAACTTCATGGATGTCCCCCAGCATAAGGTTGCCTTTTGTCACAGGCAACAGTTCTCTAATTAAACATGCATCAGCATCACCTAAGAGAAAAAAAAAAAAAACAACTCACTACTGTCATGTCAACTCTGACTCATAGCTACTCCTTGGGTTTCCAAGGCGGTATTTCTATGGAAGTAGATTGCCCAGTCTTCCTTCCTAGGAGTGGCTGGTGGGTTTGAACTGCCAGCCTTCTGGTTAGCAGTCAGATGCCTTAGGCACTATGCCACCAGAGCTCCTCAGCATCACCTGGAGGGCTTATTAAAACACAGATTGCTGGGCCCTACACTGAGAGTTTCTAATTCAGTAGGTATGAAGTGGGGCCTGAGACTGCATTTCTAATAAGCTCCCAAGTGATGTTGATGCTGCTGGTTCGTGGGGCACATTGAGAATTACTGGTCACAAGAGTAGAGCCCCAGATGGATACCAAAGATAGGGAGGGGGGCATTCTAGGGACCATAGGCAGGAGCTACTGTGGTCCTGCTTCAAGTTCCAGGCTCATTTAGCCTGGGCTAGACTACCTGGCTCATACCAAGCCCTGGAGATGGAAGTCTGACAGCTGTTACCCTCCACACCAGGATCAACTCACTCTTTCCACACACACTCACTGAGCTGAGTGGGGCAGGCTGTAAGCCAGGCACTGGGAGACCACAAGGAAGAGATGTGTCCTTACGCTCAGGGGAAAGAGCCTCACACAGAAATAATGCCACAGTTCAGAGCTCATGCCAGAGAGGGGTGTGTGTGTGTGTGTGTGTGTGTATAACCAAAGGCTTGTTATTAGATGCCCTCAAGTCTATTTCAACTCATTGTGACTCCATGTGACAGAGTAGAACTGCCCCATAGAGTTTTCTAGACTTTCACCTTTACAAGAGCAGATTATCAGGTCTTTCTCATGCAGTGCCATTGGGTGGGTCTGAACTGCCAACCTTTCAGTTAGCAGGTGAGCACTTAATCATTGTGCCACCAAGGGAGCTCTGTTTTCTCTGAATATTGTCCTGGACAGGATCCATGCAGGGAGAGGGTTGTGGTGAAGGAAAAATGTTAAGCAGTGACCCCAAGCCTGACATGGAGCACAGATCTGGTCTGTTTTCTCTGCAGGATCCTGGTCTCCATTATGACCCCCAGCCCTTGGCCCATAGGCCCTGTAGCTAGTAGCCCCACCCAGTCTGTCCAATTTGTTGTCAGAGCCAAGCCACAAAACGGCTTCAGCATGGCTTTGACGGCAAAGGTCTAAGTGAAGCCCATGTGAATTCTATCTGTTGGTCCAAGGACAGACAGACAGACATAGGTTGAGCCACAGCCAACTGATCAATCAAAGGACAGGAGGAAAACAAGAATTTGGAGGTCAGAAGCCTAGCCTTATCTCTGTCACTGATCCTGATGTGTGGCCTTTGACAAGTGGCCCTGGGACTCAGTGTCTCCATCTGTTCAATAGGAGTTTGGGCTGAGTGAGCTCTGAGGCTACTCTGAAATTATAAGGTTTGATAAGATGCTGACAACAAATAGAACACAGAGAAGAGAAAGGAAGGGATAACAGCTCCAAAGTGTCTGGCCAGGGGTCAGAAGGGAGGCCAGAGGAGCAACGTGACCATCAAAGCTGGACAAGGACCACAAGATAGTCAAGAGAGGAAGAAGAGGGGAGGTAAACTAGAAAGCCAGAGGTCAAAGTCAGGGTAATCAGCTTCTCTGCAAGGACCCCACTCTATGGTATCCCAGAATGTATGAAAGAGACCTCCCTAGCCTCCCAATTGTACCCATCTCTTCTCTCTGAAATGTGAGGCAGTCTCACCTATGGGATGAGGGTTTGGAATAGTGGAGCCCTTTAGGCCAGGATGCCTGTCTGGGTCTCCTTGTTGGCCCGGCACTCACATTGAGGCCACTACTCACTTAGCCCCAAGTGCTAGTGGGTGCTGTCATGGTTGATACAGGGCTAAAGGCTGAGGGCTATGAGCTAGAATTCTTGGGTTCTCGTTCCAGCCCTACCATTTACATCCCTCTAGGTGGTGTAGTGTCTAAGGCATTTGACTGCTAACCAGAAGTCTGGCAGTTCAAACCCACCAGCCACCCCTCAGAAGGAAGATTGGGCAATCTATTCTGTAGAGATACTGCCTCAGAAACGCAAGGAGCAGTTGCTATATGAGATGAACCGACTCAAAGGCAGTGAGTGAACTCATCCCCTCACTTCCCCTTCCAACAGAGTCCTCTCCTGTCCCTGAATGGGACTGAGCTGTGAGCTACAAAGGGTTAGATATGGGGAATCTGAGCCTACTCCACCCTCTCCTCCCAGGACTCCTTTGAGGGAGAGCCTGCTGCTCTCCTCAGCCAAGACCCCAAGATGGACTGGGCTTGAGAGGCAACTGCAGGTCTGGACTGTCCAGGCCCTGGCCTATATGGGTCAGCCCCAGCCATGAGTGGCCATCTGGGGCTTCTCCAAGCCAGGCTAGTCTGCAGCAGCTCCAAGCCCCTGCCTGGAATCTACTGCAAACTAATCAATCACTCCCACCCCTGCCCAAGGAATTGAAGCACTTGGAACCCAGTTAAGCCAGGCCACCTGTGGCCCAAGCCTACAGCCAGGGGATCCCACCCTGCTGTGGGGAAAGAAGCTTGAGCACTGGGAAGGGTCTGACCTGGTTCTGGTGGCACCAGAGGAAGATACTCTGTCTCAATATTCTCTCTGTCCACCTCCCTACTGCTCACATTGTCAAACTCCTGCATCTTGGGGAGGCTTTGCAGTATGGGATAGAGACAGTCAGCTGACAGTCTGTGGGCACCAGAGGCCTTGGCTGCAGTTCTGAGTGACGATCAGGGGCTGCTGACCCATGCCTGAGTCCAGGGTAGTTAGGGATTCACCCTCTGACCAAGATGTTCTCCTTCCCCTGGGTACAGGTTAGTCACTGTTCTACCTCTGTGTCTTTGGAGTTTCATCTTAAGCTTCTCATCTTAAAACACAATCCATTTTTCCCACCAGTGTGAATGCCTCATCTTTCAAAGTCCCATCTCAGTCTCCCTCCTTTGTGATGCTCTCTCTGACCACCCAGGCCTCTTTGATTATTCCTTCCTCAGATCTCGGAAAATAATGTCTGATGTGGTTGGCACTCTATAACATACAAAGAACATTCATGGTCCTCATCTCATCTTTAGCTTCAGAGTTGGTCTGTAAGACAGGGATGACCCTGCCTATTTTACAGAGGAAGAACTGAGGCTCAGAGAGGTAAAAGCATTCAGACATAGATATTCAGCTCAAAATTACCCCTGGATAGCAGATATCTAGCGTAGCTGGACAATGAATAAGAAAGACTGAAGACGAGTTGATGATTTTGAGTTGTGGTGTTAGCAAAGAATACTGAATAATGTACCATGGACTGCCAGAAAAATGAACAAATAGGTCTTGGAAGAAGTACAGCCAGAATGCTCCTTGGAAAAGAGAATGGCAAGACTCGCCTCACCTACTTTGGCCATGTTATCAGAAGGGACCACTCCCTGGAAAAGGATATCATGCATGGTAAAGTAGAGGGTCAGTAAAAAAGGGGAAGACCCTCAACGAGACAGACTGACACAGTGGCTGCAATGATGGACTCAAGCATAACAAGGATTGTAAGGATGGTGTGGGACTGGGTAGTGTTTCGTTCTGTTGTGCATGGGGTTGCTATGAGTAGGAGCCAACTGTATAGCACCTAACAATAACAACAACAGTGTAGCCCTTGACATGGAGCCCTCGGCTCAGAGGAACCATCATGGAAATCACACACCAACTGGATGTTCCTCAGTAAGAACATGCCTAGAACAGTCTGGTCCTACATGCCCAGTGCATCTAACAGACTCTGCTGCTCTGCTTCCCAAGTCCCAAGGCCTCTTTTCCTGGCTCCCCTGAGAGGACTAGGTGACTCTGGGTATGATATTGCTTTAGCTAGGGCCAAAGCATTGGCAGCCCAGGAAATACTGCAGCAGTGACAGAGGTACCCTCGCGCAAGGATGCAGTGAGATAGATGCCCTCTCTGGCTGTCTGTTCCCAGGACACGTGGCTATTTTATGGGTGAGAACTATGGAAAGTTGAATGTGAGGAGTTTCCCTCTTTCCAAGCAGAATCTCTCACCCACACATCACTCGGATCATAAAGATTTGCTGTCTTCCCCAGGTTACCTCAAGGACTCCAGATGGCCAGGACAAGCAGGCAGGAAAGGGGAAATGGAGATTAGAAATGCTGGA